AAGCTGCCATCCCTGGCCACAGGCCGGCCCCAGACCGGCCCCAGAAGCCACCCAGAAGCCGGTGATCGGGGGAGATGGGGGTCCCCTGATGCCTCTGGTCGAGGTGTCAGGCCTGGGCAAGGGGCCGATCCGGCGATCAGAGGGTGATGGGGGTTGACGCCTCTGGCTGAGGTGTCAGGCCTGGGTGGGGGGCCAAGCTGGAGATTGGTGTGAACTACAGAGGAAACACCTTTTTTGACCACTCATTGGCTAAGCTCCCTGTATGCCACTGGTAATATTCTTAGTAACTTGGGTAATAAGAATCCAAAAAGGTGATCTAGGGTTTTTCACCACACTCCTGGCGAAAAAAACAAAGGTCCGCTGCTGGAGGGCTAAGAAATGTCATATCCTGCCCTAGCCAGTTTGGCTCAGTGGATAATGCCTCGGCCTGCCTACTGCAGGGTCTGGGTTCAATTCTGACCAAGGGCATGTACCTAGGTTGCAGGCTCCTCCCTGGCCGGGGCCCAGGTCAGGGCTCATGCAGAAGGCAACCAATCAAAGTGTTCCTCTTACTTTGATGTTTCTCTCTGTCTTTCCCTTTCTCTTCCACAGTCTCTAAAAATCAATGGAAACATATCCTCAGGTGAGGATAAAAAAAATAATAAATAAATGTCATATCCTATGAAAGACACATCTTGAAAATGCCTAAAGAAAGTTGTCATTTTTTCATGGTGAAGGGACTGGAGTCCGTGTTGATGAAAAAACCTTGGTGGCTGTGGTGACTGGCAGTGGCTGCAGCAGCGGGGTGATGGGACTGGTGCCTTCCCCTGATCAGCCCAGTTGCCTCCCACAAAGGGAGGCCAGACTGTGGCTTAGGCCCACTCCCCAAGGGGAGCAGGGAGTGGTCCTAACCCGTCACTAGGACATCCCCTGATGGCTCCCAGTATGTGAGAGGGGGCAGGCTGGGCTGAGGGACACCCCCCCAGTGCACGAATTTCGTGCACCGGGCCCCTAGTCCTATATAATAAAAGGGTATTATGGAAATTGACCCTAATGGTGGAATGACTGGGAATGACTGGTCACTATGACGCACACTGACCACCAGGGGGCAGATGCTCAACGCAGGAGCTGCCCCTGGTGGTCAATGCACTTCCACAGGGGAAGCGCCGCTCAGCCAGAAGCCAGCTCATGGCTGGCCAGTGCAGCGGCGGTGGCGGGAGCCTCTCCCACGTCTGCGGCAGCGCTAAGTCAGAAATCCCCCGAGGGCTCCCGGGCTGCCAGACGGATGTCTGACTGCCAGCTTAGGCCCAATCCTCTGGGGAGCGAGCCTAAGCTGGCAGGTGGACATCTCCTGAGGGGTCCCGGACTGTGAGAGGGTGAAGGCTGGGCTGAGGGAACCCCTCCCCCCAGGGTACTAATTTTTGTGCACCAGGCCTCTAGTTTAAATATAATAATAATAATAAAGCAAATTGATAATTGGGATTAGCTTTTTTAATGAAAATGTCTGTTTTCACTTTTTAAAAAAACATCCTATACAATAAAAGCATACAGTGGGGCCTTGACTTACGAGTGTCCCGACTAACGAGTTTTTTGAGATACCAGCTGTCTCTCGGCTGATTTTTTGCATTGAGTTGATAGAGTAATTTGAGTTAACGAGCTCCTTAATGAGCTCGGTCTCAGAACGAATTAAACTCGTAAGTCAAGGCCCCACTGTAGTATGCAAATTGTCCCCTCGACTGGGAGTTTGACCAGGGGGCGTGGCTGGCCGGGGGAAGGGAGGGAGTACCGGGCCAGCAGGTGGCAGCCAGTAGGGACCCTAGTGCACGGGGCCTCCAGAAATTACATAACAAGCAGTGTTAACTCTGTTTAGAGCAAGCATGACAAACTTGCGGCCCATGGGCTGCATGCAGCCCACAAGGAATATTTTTGTGGCCCAGCCAATATAACAGTATGTAAGAAACATTTTAATAAAGATTTTATAACTTAATTTTCACAAAATCCTATTATACATAATTATTAATAACGAACTATAATGTTTGCTAATGACTGATTACTATAATTGTGTTGCATTCATTTCCCTTATGCACCTTACTCACAGGTGCACCATTTCTCTCCACTAATACTAGCAGTGAATATTTTAGCAGCCGATTGCCACATCATCAGTGTTGTACTGACTTGTTTGGTGTGCGCAACAGGAAATATTTCGCTTTCAGAGAACAAGAAAAATAGGTTTATTTGTGTTACATTTATTTGTGCAGTTATTCAGTATCTGGTAAGTTCATGTTTAAGAAAAAATATTAATTTGTATTAAAATGTGCTATTATTTTATGTTAATGATTACTCATTTATCTCAGCCCTTTGTATTCAGCATGTCTCTATCGAAATAAACCTATGTTTCTATGAAAATTGAAGCTTTTGTTTTTTTGCGGCCCCCATAAACTTAAACCTTATTTGGCCCATGTTAGCCTTTGAGTTTGACATGCTTGATTTAGAGGAATACAGGAAATACAGCAATTCAGATCAAGTGGTAATCCAGGCACCCTTCACCACCTGGTGGCAGCATAACCTATAGCATAAGGGCAAAATCTCAATACATACCAATACCAAAGAAAGAAGTGAAGCAGCAAGTGAGAACCCCACACCTCATCAGCAGCATTTGGTTAAAATATTTTCAAACTTAACCTGTCCTTTTACATGATCTAGAAATTAGGTTTGATTTTGACATAATGGTGCATTTATCAATAATTGTTTGCAGGTTTAGCAAACAGACTCATATTAAACTGTCTTCTGTATTATAACCCTGGAATCACCTTGTACAAGAAGTTACTTAACTTCTCCTAATCTGTTAAATGGTCATGACAATACTACCTATTTCATAGGATCATTATGAGGATTAAACAATTTAATCCCTGACAGGCACTTCAAACAGTAACTGTCTCATAATAAATGCTAGATAAGTATTTGCTCTTATTATTGCATAGAATTTTTACCCAACTTCTCTAAAATTAAACTAAAAAATGCAATTTTAGAATTTAGTTTACATTTTTCAAAACTATTTATAAAAGGAAAAAATAGTCATAAACTGTTTCAGGCATGCCTTCCTAGTGCTGTAGTAGGCTATTGTTACTGTGTGATTATTGTATAAATATAATCATTGGTTAAATGTTGAAAGCTTATTTTTCTTGATTTCTCCTCAGAGAATAGTACAACCTGAAATTCTACATATATGAGAATGTTTTTCCTGCTTATAATCTATTCTACTTTTCCTATGCCATTGTGAGCAATTTGACGAAATTTGTTCTCAAGTGTTTGAACTAATGTGGCAGGGTAATGTCTTATTTTCTTGATTCTGCATATATTTCATCATTTTTAGTCCTCCTTTTCTCAAATGGGCATGAAAATCAATGTCTAGTTTTAATAATGCTGACAGAAAAAATGGCATTCTTAAATCTGTCAATCTGTGGTATCAGTCATCTCAATGAATGAAATAGGAAGGCAAGAATAACACACAGAAGTTCAGTACATTAACAAAGAAAAACATTTGTTACTGATTATCCTTTCTCATGTTTGAATTTCATCTTTTAGTGTAAACAGGTTGGCAGCATCAACTTGACTTGGAGATTCTCTTTCAAGAAATAACCATTTGAATAACAGTATTCCATATTATGAACACCTGGCAGTGACTACTAATACAGAACCAACTATTCAAAACAAAAGAGGAAAGCAGATTTTTTAAAAAAGTTTGTCTCTCATCTTCTTTTTTCTTTAGTCAATCTCAAGGGGAAAACACTTTACCAATTTACCTATTTAAAAACCAAGTGTTCTTTATATTTTTTGAATTGCAGAAAAGAGATCACACCATAATTAAAAATCTTTCCACATCTTTCTTCATTCTCTCCAAAATACTGTGTATTTCTTTAATTCAATAACCTGACTTTACCTTGTCTGTGTCATTTTATTATTAGAAACCTTCCCTAATTATTTACAGATTCCTTTCAACTTGGTGCCAGAGCCAGGAACTCACAGTTCTGTGTATAAGGGCACTTTTGGTAAAGGAGAACCAAGAACTCTGTTCTCAAACAAGAGCTAACAGCCTGAACTCAGTGTACAAGGTTCTTGGATAACACCATCTGAGAGGAAGTATCTGAAAAAGACAGGAAGGGATCTTTGGCTAATATTTTCAATAGGGCAGCTTCAGTAAAGCCTTGGGATTTCAAGCCCATTTCTTTGAAGGTTCTGATAGTGAAGTAAGTTTAATAAGATTTAGTTTAATGAAGACCAGCACTCCTAATAAAATGTTGTTATTCTTTAACAGAAATTCATAACAAATCTTACCTAATAATAGACAAACATGTAAATTTACCATACCTTCGCTATGCTAACCAGCCAATCAGGAGAGTATGCAAATTAACCTAACAAAGATGGTGGTTAATTTGCATACGTAGGCTCCAAGCGGTGGAGCGAAGCCGGACGGCCCCGGGGCCGGAGCAGCGAAGCCGGATGGCCCCGGGGCCGGTTCCGGCCGGAGCCCGGCCAGAGTGAAGGCCTGGGTTCCAGGTGCCAGAGGCAAACCAGTGCCAGCAGTCAACGGAAGGGAAGGCCTATTGCACGAATCTCTTCGTGCAAATCTCTAGTTAAGTAATAAATGTCAAAATTTTCTCTGAGATCTCCAGCTGCAGAAATGCCTACTCCGGGTGAGTGAACTTTTAAAATTGTGGGCCAAGATTTCGCTGATGTTAGAGAAGCAGGAAATGTTGATCAGCAGCCAATCTGTCATTAACTCTCCTGAATGGAAATAAGGGCTCACTGATATCCCTCACCAGCAACAGCTGTAGAAAGCAGACAGTTCAGTAAGGCGGCAGCATCTTCACCAAGTGCTCTCTTTGGAAAATGTGCCACCTCATTAGATATATCCCTGTGCTTTGGAATTCAAACCACAAACTCCCAGGCAAAGTACATATACTGAAAGCAGTTCAAGTTTAATAATATACAGTGGAAGACAACTCCTCAAGAAAACTCACCACCACGTCTCCCTCCTGTGGAAGGCTGTTGGCTGGCAGCCTGTTTTTCTCCTCGTTGTTGTGGTATAGAGCTCCATCATTTCTCATCACCAGACTGTGCACATCTCGGCCGAGAGGAATCTGATTCAAATTAACTTTCTGAGTTGCAACACCAATACCCCAGATTCCTAAAAATATAATGATATTCCTAAAAATATACTGAACTATTGTTTTGAATCTTCATTTTAAAAAAAATGTTTTAAAAGTAGTTTGCAAGTTACAGTAGGTTCTGCAGACATAGCATAGCCTAGGAGATAAGAGTGGGCCTTGGAGTTGCACCTAGGTTTAAATCCTGATGTAGCTATGTCATCTTGGGTAAGTTGCTTAACCTCTCTCTGCTTACTCACTTGTGAATTATGGATCCCAACAGTACTTACCTCACAAAGTTATTATAATATAATAGAGGCCCAATGCACGAAATTCATGCATGGGGGTGGGGGGGAGTCCCTCAGCCCAGCCTGCACCCTCTCACAATCCGGGACCCCTCGGGGGATGTCTGACTGCTGGTTTAGGCCCACTTACACACTAAAATAATGTGTAAGTAAAGCACAGAGTAAATATTAAAAAATATATGAGCTATTTTCATTCTTCTTCTCTAAAATGATTTTTTTAAGAAGCTACACATTGAATTTAAAGGGCCTGGGTGTTCTATTTCTAGCACTATCTCTGAGAAGTGGGAAATTACTATCTTTAATTTTTTCATCTATATATAGTAATATGTGACAAATAACATATGCCCCAGTCAATATCATGGAGAGAAAATTATTCATAAAGTATAAAATCATTTTCTTATCCAATACTTGAATCAGTGAATTAAAAACCTTTTGGGCTTAGGCTGACTATTATAATACTCATGTAAAATTGTTATACAATTCAAGAAACTATAAATTTTTAAAGAAAGCATAGACTTTAGACTTCTATCAGAATTCTCTATCTGCTGATTGCTTCAGATAATACTGAATCAGGGTATCTTAATAAGTGTTAAGAGAAAAACTCAGGATCATAAGATTGATTTTATCCTAAAATAAACAGTAAGAGTCTATACCTTATATGCTTGACCAAAGGAAATGGTGCACCTAGCTGCAAATTAATAATTAGTTATATTAATAATAATGCTAGTGCCTCACAATGATCTAGTATGTCCTGTTGTTAAAACACTTTCATAGCCCAGCCTGTGTAGCTCAGTGGTTGAGCATTGACCCAGGAACCACGAGGCCACTGGTTCAATTCCCGGTCAGGGCATATGCCCGGGTTGTGGGCTCGATCCCCTGGCGGGGGGGCGGGGGGGGGGAATGCAGGAGGCAGCCAATCGATGATGTTTCTCTCTCATCAATGTTTCTATCTCTATCCCTCTCCCTTCCTCGCTCTCTAAAAAATCAATTAAAAAATATTTAAAAAAAAAACCACTTTCTAGCTCATGTGAAGAAGGAAAGGAAGGGCAGCTCCATTAATCCCATTTTATAGAGGTGAAAACTAAATCTAATTAAACTAAATTAACTAATTAAACCAGAATCACACAAAGAAGAGGTGGAAGAAAATGTCTTCTAAGTAAGAGTTTAGAGCTTTTTTACTACCTCATTAATCTTTTTCATATATTGAAAATTACTCCTAATATTTAAAACAATTAGGACTATACTAGTAAAGTACCATTATACCAACCTGTGGACTGGATTTTGAATTCAAAGTAGCTTTTGTTTTGATGTAAAGGTGCACTGGCTAAACAACCTCCTGTTCCACATATTCTTCTTCCATTTTTTACAATAACAACATCTGTTCCTAAATAAAAAATGCAGACAATGTGTAAAGTTTTGTATTTTCTTATCCAACAATCAAGGTTAATTTCTGTTTCACTTTTAGCTCTTGGTCAACAACAAAAAAGTACACTATATATACTTTAAAATATGGAAATAATGTAAGTATTTAATTCACTATTTTTTTCCTGAGAGAATATTTATATTTAATATTCATTTGTAGCTACAAATCTTGTTTAATTAGACAGGTCCAAACCCTGAATTATGCTGAATATTTAAGATACTTTAAAAATAAAAAAACTAACTTTCTTTAATTTTTAGCCAACAAATCAATTTGATTTCTTAAATCTCTTAATTTAAATAAAAGCATAAACACTTAGAAACTGGTAAATTAGTATAATTTTCAATTCAATCCAGATGAATTAAAACAATCTACTAAAAGCTGGCTGAATATCTACTAAGTACAAAGCACTATGCTAGAGCATTAGTCAAGGAAGAACTGAAGAATACATGGAATATGGAAAGAAACATACATCTTTGTTCTTGAAATAGGTAACACTGAAAAATGCTAACTTTAGGATTTTAAAAATGTTTATAAGATAGCTACTATAAATCATATTGCAAATATGTAATAAAGGTTTTAACATCATTAAAAGCACTTTATTTTCATGGAAATTTTTAGTTTAGCTCAAATAACATTTGATAGATGAGACTGTGAGAAAAAAACTGCAGTGTGACCTCAATACCAATTCTTTTCCAAATCTCAATTAAGAATGTATATAAGAGAACATGAAGAGACTTAATTTAATTCTAATATGTAAGAAATATACTATAGCACTGAGGCATGTGACTCCCAAGATCTGTGGCCAGTAGTAAGTGTAAAAGCCAAGAAGATTTGGCTATTGGAATTATATAGGACTCCTTCTAAGGGCGTTAAATAAAACTAGGGCATAGTAACAAAAGGTGGCAATGATCACATTAACTCACTATTGAATTCATGTTTAAACAAAAATTATTTGAGATAAATACGTAATAGAAATGCAAAATTTTCAACCTCAATCACAATTCTAAATTTTCAGACTCTACCACACTCTCCTAAATAAGGTAAAACTAAGATCCTATTATATGATTATTAAAAATTCACTAGCATCCATTTGTTTCTAATCATAAATGTTAAACTCCAAATTCTGAGTAACTTTATAAATAATTTACATCTGGCTGCAAAATATACCACCAGCAATTTCAACTGGAGAGCACCCAGGACCCAACTCCTCCTTGATGTAGAGACCATGTAGTGCTTGGCATCTAGCAGATGCTCAGCAAATAACTAATATAGAAATGAATGAATAAATATGCTCTGCTAAGCACTTTGCGGTGAACATGTAGCATCTGTTTTCCCTTTCCCAACAGCCTTCCCTCTGGAGTTCAAAACAGTTCCAAGGAAGCTGACTCAATCTCTGGCTTCAGGGGTACAGCTTTGACCTAGGTTAAGTCAATCAATGCATTCCATATTTCTTGGCCACAGTGATTAAGTGAAAAATGGTTATATGACCTAAGCCAGTAAAATCAAAGATAGTCTCAGGACTTCTGCAGAAAACAAAGGGATAAAGACACTCTCTCATTCTTGCTGGACCTAAATGAGGAAGCCCAGGGAGCTGCTGCAAGTTATCATGGAAGCCGGCCTCCAGAAGAGGAGAAAAGAAACCCAGTCCTTGGCAGCAGTCTTTCCTGAAGCTTGTGCTGCCTTTGTACTTTTTTCAGTTACATGTACCAATAAATTTCCTTGATTGTTTAAACAACTCTGAGTTATAATTTTTACTACTTGTAACTAAAAGCATTTTAAATAAAACACATTTCAAAGAATTAAGTGAATGAATGGCATTTTTTCTTAACCAGCAATGCTCTGTGGTTCCCATACATACTAAAATCATCTAATAGCAAGCTCCTCTAGTAGACAGCTTACTGTCTTGGATATCATCCTAAGGTGCTAAGTTAATAGAAATATCAGAAGACCCTCAATACAATACAGTCTACTGTCAGAACCACAGAACCAACTCTGAACATGGTATTATTCTCTAACTTCAATATCATTTATCTCCAAGGCATTCTGCTAGGTACTGAGATATTTTATATAAAAAGATAAATATATTCAAGGAACACGCTGGAGTGTTGTGAATAATTAGGGAATTATATTTTAGATGTATTCCATTTCTTTTAGTACAAAGATTAGGATCTATGTAATTTGTACAGTTTTATTAATTAGAAAGTCAAGGCCAATTTGAATACAGTCAGAGCACATAAAAACATAATCAGAGTATGTTTTAAGGAGGGAGGTCAAGAAGGCTGCAGTCTAAGGAAGTTCCATCTGCTTGCTTTGAGCACTGGACCAGACTTGTAGCTAAAATTCAGAATGTTCAACTTGAAAAGCCAGCTGAAAAATAGCTGATCTGAAATACTGTGAGTGGGAAGTGCAGAGGGGGGACGGAAGATGAGTGGGTGAGCCAACTTGTGCAGCTGTGCAGTACAGCTGGGAAGCTGGAGGGAAGGTGTGGCAGCACAGCTCCTGGCCACTGGGAGCACGGCGTCTCAGCCCCACACAGGGATCCCCAAACCGAGCAACAGAGAAGGGAAGGGGAGCCCACGTAGCATCCGACAGTGGGAATCAGTGGTGATGTGATCCACCCGGAGGTGGCGGGGTGGGGAGGACTCAGACAGCACTGTCCCAGGCAAAAAGCGAGTGCTTGGTTACACCACCAGCCAGGAGAGCTCGCCCTAATCTGTGTCCACGGAAGGGGCCACTCAGCAGAACTCATGACTGGCAGAGGGGTCTGAGCCCATCACTCAGCAGTGAATTTGAGGGGCTGATTATTCTCTGAAAGAACTTTCCGCAGAGAGCAGGACAAGGGCCAGTAAGAGTACTCTGGGAAAGAGGTGTAATCCTCCACACCTCCGGCAAAGAGGAGCTCCTTCCCCCACCTGTGGAACAGCTCTGGGCTGGAAATATGCACCCATGTGGCTGGGCCTGGTGGCGCAGGGGACTTGGATATCTGGACTGGTGGAAGCCTGGGCAGAAGCCCTGCCCAGCAAGAGCATTGAGCCAGTCATGCTGAAAGATTAGAGAGATAAGCAGGGCTGGTTCTTTTTTTTTTTTTATTCCCTCCTGCTTGGGGTGGCAACAAGGGACACCAGTGACCCAGGCAGAGCTGAGGGATTGGAAGCAGAGGAAGCACCTGCCCGCCCCCTCTACAAGCTACAGACATCACCCCAAATGCAAATCTGTCGAACCATCCAGACCGTGACTGGATACCCCCAGAGAGCCCAGTTCTGTGGGGGAAGGAAAAGCAGCTCAGAAAGTACTATTCAAGGGCCAAGTCCCAAAGCAGAAGCAACTTCTGGGTTAGAGAGGCCCTGTCCACCAGACTACTGGGGATCTGCCCAGGCAGGTTGCTGAGGGCCAGGCAGGGACAGCAGCTCACATTGGCCTGCACCAGAGAACTGCCCTGGAGGCCTGGCACCTACACACCAAAGGACTAGATCCAACAATATTGGAGCAAAATCCAGCAAGCTCCACAAGTAGCAGATCCAAACGTTTTTGTTTGGTTTGGTTTTCTCTTTCTCCTCTTTTTTTTTTTTCTTCTTCTATATTCTCTTATTGCTAGCTTTCATTTTAGTCTATTTTTCTCATTCTCTTTATTTTTAATTCAGTTTTTTCTTTTCCCATTTTTCTTTTCCTATTCTATATTTTATTTTGTTCAGTATTATTACTTTCCAAAATTATTATTTCATTCATTTTTTTTCCTCTCTTTTATTTTTTCTACTTATCCTATTTCTGGTCTCTTCCTTCTTTGCTTTCATATTCTCTTTTTTTGTTTTAGTTTCTCCTCTAATTCTTTTGGTCCTGTGTCTTCTGATATCCTTTCGTGTGTGTGTGTGTGTGTGTGTGTGTGTGTGTGTGTGTATTGTTTGTTTTTTAGACTTTTTGTTGGGGCTGTTTGTTTTCATGTTGTTTTTGGCTAGCTCTGGTTTTGTCTTTTTGGTTTTGTTTTGTTTTAGCACCTGTATAACAGTTGGCATGATGTAGCTGGGTTGAGACTTACAGTCAACAAGCCTGAGGGCTGGGCCCACCAACAAATGGGACAACAACAACAATCAAGACCCAAATTCCACAGGATAGCCCACATAATCCATACAAGGGTCATTCCTAGAGCACCTAGCTCAGAAGATCAAAGAGAATACTAGGTGTACCAGTTAATAATGGCAGATTTTGTAATCAAAGAAAACACGATAATTTCAAGAGAAACATCAAAAGTGCTTTATTCAAATAATGTCCATCGCTAGCTACACATTTCCCCCATCTTTTAGGAGATACCATCCCAAAAGAACTTTTCTTGTTTTGAGGCAAACTATTCAGAGACCCAATTTTCCACTTCTTTGTATGTTTTGAAGTGCTGCTCAGAAAGTATGTGTGCCATCAATCAGAACAAGTGGTAATCTGAAGGAGCAAGATCTGGTGAATATAGCGGGTGGGTTAATACTTCCCAGGCAAGATCTTTTAATGTGTCTTTAACTGGTTTTGAAGTGTGTGATGGTGCGTCATCGTGAAGCAAAATTACTTTGCTGTGTCTTCTGGCACATTCTGGTCATTTCACGATCAAAGTGTGGTTCAAATTGATTATTTGTTGTCAGTAGCAATAAATATTAACCGTTTCACCTGGTTTTAGAAGCTCATAATATACCACACTTTCCTGATCCCACCAAACACAGAGAATTGTCTTCTTTCTGAAGCGATTTGGCCTTGCAGTTGATGTTGATGGTTGACCTGGATCAACCCATGATTTTGTGCATTTGGGATTCTCAAAATAAATCCACCTTTCATCACCAGTCACAATTCGATGCAAAAAAGACTTTCTTTCGTGCTGTTGAAGCAACATTTTACTGTTGACTTTTCAGTTTTCCATTTGTCTTTCATTCAGTTGATGTGGCACTCATTTTCTTTCCTTTAAAATCTTCCCCATTGCTTGTAAA